GAATTGAAAAAGATGCTCAAATATACCTTTCCCAAAAAGCTGGAAGCTTTTTTGCTGGGCTTGATGGGAGAGGAAATAGCAAAGGCAGATCAAAGACTATTAATGTACACGACAACGGCAAGAACTTTATTAGCCCAAAAGTGGAAGTTACAAGAATTACCAACAATGGAGGAGTGGCAGATGAAAATGATGGACTATGCGGAACTGGCAAAACTGACCTGCAGAGTTTGAAACCAGGACGAACTAAAATTCCAAAGAGACTGGAGTAAATTCATTGACTATATAAATAATAACTGTAGAAGTTTGAAGACACTAGAAGGATTGAAATAAATCCTTTATAAATAAGATTAAACTGTGAGATACAGATTTGAAAAGGGAAAGCTTGCTGGTGGAATGGAGGGAAGTCATAAGCTTGGCAGAGCAGTAGGGAAAGAGATTGGTAGGCGTATATTGGAAATTATTGTTTATTGTTTAAAGTGAAAGTTTAATAAAAAATTTATTCAGAAAGAAAGAAAGAAAGAAAGAAAGAAAGAAAGAAAGAAAGAAAGAAAGAAAGAAATTCCACTGGTTTAGATCCTGAAGCTCCTATCCAAAATTTTGAGTGAAGAGGGATTCTATAGTCAAATGAAGAGTTTAAAAGCAAACTCTTTAAATAAAGGCATGTCTGTCAAAATTTCCATCAATTAAACTTTAACCCAAACTAGAGGAGACTACACTATTATAAATCACCCAACAGACAGGCACAGATCAGTGAAACGTGTTTCTGAAAATTTATAACAATGTCAGGTTATATCACAGCCTCAGTCATCACTCATGACATGATCAAGGCAACCTGACCTGATATGTCTTCTAATATATTTGAAACAAGCCCCACAGCTCCAAGTAAATCACAGCTTCTGAAAACTTTCTGAAGGATTTTCAAGCCTTTGGACTCATCCTTTAAGCCAGGTTTTCTTTGTTTGTAACTTTCCCAAGTAATTATAGTAACTTGTATGGCCTATGCTTGTGTGTATGTGGTCCAATGACATTTGGAATTACCCAACAGCTTAGCAGAACCATTTGCTTTGTTGCTATAGTCACTTCAGGAAATGAGGTATGAAGTCTGAGCCTTCTCCACTCTAGTATTCCAGCAAAACACTCATTGGAAAGCCAGGTAACGACATTATTTTTGGTCATAGTAGTGACATAAAATTGATTGTGCCTGAGTACATTAGATTAAGGCAGCAGTCCACAAATGTTGGTTCTGGAAACACAAAAGAATGGTGTTGATAGTTGGAGCATATTCTATGGAGCTAGTTTCTTGAAAGATAACTTTCAGTTTATATATATATATATATATATATATATATATATATATATATATATAATCACCAATGATCTGCAGTATAGCCTTTTTTAATTGTTCTGCAGAAAAATGAACAAGCTATTCTATGTGGTATTTAATGACTGAGTACACAGACACCACCAGTCAATCAAGTCATCAGTGTACAAAAAAAGCCTGTAGAATCATAGAATCATAAAATCTTAGAGTTGAAAGGCACCCCAAGGGTCATCTAGTCCAACCCTCTGCAATGTCAGAATCTCAGCTAAAACATCCATGACAGATAGCCCTCCAACTTCTGCTTAAAAACCTCCAAGGAAGGAGAGTCCACCACCTCTCGTGGCAGACTGTTCCACTTTTGAACTGCTTTTACTGCCAGAAAGTTTTTCCAAATGTTTAGTCGGAATCTCCTTTCTTGCAACTTGCAGCCATTGGTTCGAGTCCTACCCTCCAGAGCAGGAGAAAACACGCATGCTCCCTCTTCCATGTGGCAGCCCTTAAGATATTTGAAGATGGCTATCATATCTTCTCTCAGCTTCATCTTTTCCAGGCTAAACATACCCTGCTCCTTTAAGCGCTTCTCATAAGGCATAATTTCCAGACCCTTGATCATCTTAGCTGTCCTCCTCTGCACACGTTTCAGCTTGTCAACATCCTTCTTAAATTGTGGTGTTCAGGACGCAGGACTCCAGGTGTGGTGGGCCATGACCTTCAGCAGGAAGGAGTGATGAGAAGATTACCTGTGCCCCAAGTCTCTTGAGCTCCCTGCCCAGTGTCTCATAGTGCCTTGCTATGTGTTGCAAGAGAATTAAAACAAACTAAAAAAACAACAGAAGGACAGATCCTGAAGCTGAGGCTCCAATACTTTGGCCACCTCATGAGAAGAGAAGACTCCCTGGAAAAGACCCTGATGCTGGGAAAGATGGAGGGCACAAGGAGAAGGGGACGACAGAGGACAAGAGGACAACTTGAGTTTGACCAAACTGCGGGAGGCAGTGGAAGACAGGAGTGCCTGGCGTGCTCTGGTCCATGGGGTCACGAAGAGTCGGACATGACTAAATGACTAAACAACAACAACAACAAAACAACAACAGCAAGTGACTAAAAGAATCAAGTTGATAACCACTCTAAAACAATGGGTGAAAACACTGGAAAAATAAAAAAAAAATTATTTGCCTGATTATGAAACGTTGTAAAACTGGGTGCCAGATAAGCCTATTCCAGAGTTGGAGTGCCACCAGCCTTTCATTTAAACTTCCCACCATGCACCATATATATCTTGTAGTGGGCACAGCCTTGGGTTTGGAAATGGGAGAGCAAAATTTGCTTTCCTGCTCAGCCAGCCACATTCACTTCCAAACCCAGTATTTTCTCCTGCAGCTTGTGGGTATATCACCTCACAAACCTCCCCCCCACAAAAGGGTCTACCTACCCTATAAGCCCTAGCAGACCCGAACTCTTTATACCTATCCCCCCATTTTTGCCTGTATGAAAGAAAGAAAACATAGAGAACATTGTTTCAGTACTGTGTGATTTCCCCAATGATGCAAAGGACCTGCTTCAGGCTCTGCTAGGAACATTATAGTGGCTTATAATGCACTGTTCTTGTCGGTTTTCCCTGTCGCAAAATCATTTAAAGTAAAATCATTTTATGTGACTCATGGAAAAAGCATCTGATTTTTGGAGAGTGTGTGTGTGTAATACTACAGGTTTAAGTCAGGATTTAATGTTAAATGGCACTTCCTTGACCTCCATCTTGTTGTGATCCATAGGAGATATAGGTTGTACCAGAGTTGCCTCCGGGGTGTTATGCTAATGACAGCAAGGCTTACCATAGTAAAGAAAATTGTGCTTTTAATGTAGCACCCTAGGTGTGCATTATTATTCCTGAACCACTCATGGTAAGGTACTTGATGTTAGGCAGTGCTCTCTATGCATGCAGGCAGCATAGCTTGACCCAGGCAGCTTAGTGAGCCATTTGCTGGCGCTCTTTGCACTACTTTGTGAGCTAAAATAGATTTTCTCCTTGCACGTTAGCCCACACCGTTGGACAAGCAGCTAATTCCCCTGTACCCCTAATGTATATTACAAACCCTAAAATGGAAATCACTTATTTTTTCATTAGTCAAAACTCTACTATTAAATGCAGATGTGCTAAAATAAAAACAAAACAAAACAAAAAAAGGTGATGGTGCACAGCAGGGAGAAGCAGAGTGGAAAATGCTGCCATTTCTTACCACAAAATTAAAACAATGGGATCTGCTAAAGCCATTCCTGTTTGACTCAACGTCTGTTTAGTGGTAGCATTCCAGTTCCTTAAAATACAATCAGCGATTTTGCTTTAACAGAAGGCATTGTGGGTCTCAAGTCGCTTTTCATAAGGGGGAAAACAAGTGGTGTCTGAAAGCTTTGGCTTTGCTTTTTTAGGAACAATTCAGATATTAGTTTATGTGCTAGCTGGTATAAAAGGAGGCAGTCCAAAGTACTGTAGCGTGTTCATCATGTTTCATCAACCCAGAATGCATCGTCAATAGTAGTAGCAGCAGTGTCATTTGGTACTGAATGTGAATTTTGATGTATCAATGCCTTTTTGTTGGGTTTTGGGATTCCTGGTATATAAATTAACTAAATAAATGAAATATTTCCAAAGCATAGCCTTTGCGTGTCGAGGTCCCCAGGGCCACCCCAATAACTCACACATCACACAGAATTTTTTGTTTAAGATTTTTGGCATAATTTTGGCCACAACTTTATTGAAATACAAATTTGTGAGTGGTTGCTTAGGCATTGGTTGCGACTATCTGCCCCCACCATGGGGGACAGACTGACATTCCGCACGATGCGAAAGTCAGAATAGGGGAATACACTTGGGGGTTACGCGGAGCAGGGAACCTGCCCTCACCCCAAATGCAACCAGGAGCTCATTGCTATGGCCCGAGCCCCCTTGACAGAGTGGACAAGCAATAGTTAGCCCCCAATTCCTTTAACGGAATCCCTTGCAGCAGCAGCATTAGAGGGGCAGGCACTCAACCTACCAAGGGCAGGCACTCAACCACTTCCCCTCAACCAACCAAACCATAAATCAATGCCTAACCACAACCTTACAAGTTGTGACGATTTGCTACGCAGTAGGCAAAAACCAAATGGCCCCAGCCAATCAGCCAGATGGACAAAATTCCTACCAGGCCCCTGCCCCAAGAGCAGACGACCCCATGAAAGGCATAGCAAGGTCAAAGCGAACAACCCTAATTCTAGGGAGGGGGGGGACGGGCAATCCGATGCATGGTCGAAAAGAGGAAGCCCTAGCCTCGTGCAAGGAGTTTTAGCATTTCTGGCTGTCAATCAACAAATGGCAACATTAACTTCTTCCCAACAACAAGGGAAGCCCCAATCGCATCAGTGGCCAAGGAACAATTAGCCCGCCCCCAACTTTGGAGTGTCCTGGTGGCCCCCACCGCAACACGTGCTCTCCATGAAGGAGAACACGCTTTATCATTCCATCTTTCTTCTTTGTCCTGTTCTACTCCACTGGTTCTTTTGCTAAAGAATTTATCCTTGTGTATTCTGGCCACAGGTTCTGCTCACTACTTTCTTCCCACCCCAAATCTTGATGGTTTACATTCCCCACCTCAAAGAATTAACGTTTTACATTGATCTGCTTTAGATTGTTCCATATATGGCTCAAAGGAACTTTTCTGCAACGTGTGCGCTGAGAGAACACACACACACACACACACACATTCTCTCAGCACACGCGTTGCAAAAAAGTTCCTTTGAGCCATTTTTAACCTCTCTTTCAATTTCACTGGCAAGGACGTAAGTCTCAATCCATATCAGTTGTTCTATGTGCCATTAAAAAGAAGTATTATTACCACATTAGCTTTTGCCAGCTGAAACGAATAGTTTTATAAATTACTTTTCATAGGTTGTTTATTTCTTTATGTTTCTCTCTGCCTTTCTACCAGAAAAAAGATGGATGGTTCTTCAAGCCCCAAACAAGGATATGGTAAGCCCGATTGCGGGGGAAATGTTCCTTAAGTTTGGTGGCCCACAGATTGAAATGTTTTGTTTAGAGAATGAATTAAATGCTAGTATCTTGAGACCTTTATGGTACAAAAATAGATCTCCTAATGATGGCAAGGAAGGATGATAAGGAAGGATGAAATACATCTTCATGACCATGAAGGATGATGGTTTTCAAGCCCATAAGCGCTTAAGATTTCCCCCTTTTCCCTCATTTTTCAGAAACCGAGTGATCCTTCTGAAATGGATGGCTAGGCTCAATGTAATGATTCAGACCAAAGTGACAGGGTAACTGGAAATAACCATTTCAGAAGCATAAAATACCCCTAGTGATTGAGATATAAAAGAGTCACTTTTTAAGTGTTTCATTAAAATCTCAGCAAATACTATGCATAACAATTTACCGTACACTGCAGCGAACCCATGAAGCTGCTTGTGTAATAAATGAGGTTCATCTGTAGTAAATGACTTGGTGCAGTACAAGTGGCTCTAATCAAATTTGGGGACAGATGAGTTCTGTAGATTCAGTTTATTTTGCTAATTTACTACTGCTTAGTACTCATGGTGGATGGACAATTGATATTATTTGTGACAACACTAAATAAAATAAGCAAAGGCAAAATAAGGCGGGTGATGTATTGCCGAGATAAATCACAAGGCAGAAGGTGGGCAGATGAAAGCCTACGGCAGGACCACTTAGCACACTCCATTTGGTTCCCATTCGTCAGCTTCACTGCCAGTGGCTCAAAAGAGAATGCAAAGGTAAATGAGCAGACACACACACACACAAATGATTTACAGCACTTGAAAATAGTTCAATAGACTTAAATCAAATTCTAGGACTTTTCAGGCAGCAGATTTCTCAGAATATGAGGGGTTTTTTCTTTTAAAAATAATATATCGGTAGTGTAAAAACCTCACAGACATCTCAGCGATCTAGGATCGCTGCCAGGGCATGCCATGCAAAGGGGTTTTTTTTCTTCCAGGAGGGGGTTACTCATAAATATTAGTATATTAACATTACCGTAACTAGTGCTGGCATTGGCTTGTCTATTTATAAAATGGCAAGGGTTTTTGGATGCTGTTAAGGATTCTTTTTCAATCCTTTACCGGTCAGAAATTCGTTGCTTTGTGAAACTAAGAGCCCAACCGCAAGTGTTCTCATGTTGCCACCTTATAAATTAATTGGCAAAAACTGACTGGTTTCTTCTGAGAATTATGCTCAAGAAGGCTCTTTCAGATGAGGGTCTAAGTTGTGTAACTTTTCCCACTGTGCAGCTCTCTCTTCTGTGTAGGGGCATTAAGTGCAAGGCCAATGAACCCACACTCTGTGTTGGCTTTCCCCACAGTGCTAAATCCTAGCACATGTGCCACTGGTTTTGGAGAACTATTGCTCTGAAGTCCATGAAGGAGAATCCATGGGACTGAGGATGATGGCTCAACTGGAAACAAGGAATGGTGAATAAATGAATGAGTTTGTTCTTGAAGGCATACAGTGGTACTTCGGTTTAAGAACAGTCCTGTTTACGAATGATTCAGTTTACGAACTCCACAAAACCGGAAGTAGTGTCCTGGTTTGCAAACTTTACCTCAGTCTAAGAACGGAATCCGAATGGTGGAAGGGCACCAGCGGTGAGAGGCCTCATTAGGGAAAGCGCACCTTGGTTTAAGAAATTGTTTCGGTTTAAGAACGGACTTCCAGAATGGATTAAGTTCGTAAACTGAGGTACCACTGTACTACAGTAAAAATACAACACCACCCAATTATATATACAGAAGTAATAGTGCCACTGTATTCTGCTCTGGTCAGACCTCACCTGGAGTACTGTGTCCAGTTCTGGGCACCACAGTTCAAGAAGGACATTGACAAACTGGAACGTGTCCAGAGGAGGGCAACCAAAATGGTCAAAGGCCTGGAAACGATGCCTTATGAGGAACGGCTAAGGGAGCTGGGCATGTTTAGCCTGGAGAAGAGGAGGTTAAGGGGTGATATGATAGCCATGTTCAAATATATAAAAGGATGTCACATAGAGGAGGGAGAAAGGTTGTTTTCTGCTGCTCCAGAGAAGCGGACACGGAGCAATGGATCCAAACTACAAGAAAGAAGATTCCACCTAAACATTAGGAAGAACTTTTTGACAGTAAGAGCTGTTCGACAGTGGAATTTGCTGCCAAGGAGTGTGGTGGAGTCTCCTTCTTTGGAGGTCTTTAAGCAGAGGCTTGACAACCATATGTCAGGAGTGCTCTGATGGTGTTTCCTGCTTGGCAGGGGGTTGGACTCGATGGCCCTTGTGGTCTCTTCCAACTCTATGATTCTATGATTCTATGATTCTATATACAGAAAGCTGTGTCTTTTATTACTTTGAGTTTAGACTGTATACATGTATAGATGTATACAGAACACCAAAGGATAGGTCATCTGTGGCTCAAAAAGTATTGAGGGTTTTGTCAATTTCTGAACAAATCTTCATTCTTTGATGGCCTTGATTCTCCCTACTTTAGCTTCATAAGCCCTCCATTTGCAAATAAGGGGCAGGAACTCAACAAAAATAAGAGAAAAGATGAAACGGTGTTTTGATTGTATATGTTAAAAATGTTGAAACTTTATAAAATGCAATTGAAAAAAGGGTCATAGACATGGGCTGATATCCTTTTCATGATACTATCCACATGTACCAAACCTTCCACAAGCACAGGTGCTCTGAATGCAGGGCTCTAAATTACAACATGACTCTGGATACATGTCACTTTCAATATAATAGTTCAAGCTCTTAAAAATGTCTTTTGTGCTACTTGCTTTCTATATTAACAATGGACTGGAGTTCCCATTAGAAGCGATTATAGAACTCATTATTATATATAAAAAAAATACTTTAAATACAGTATTGGTGCTTTGCTTTTATTGAGCTCTTTCCAGGAGGTTAAATCGTGCAGGGCTATCATTCATTTGCTTTTAGCTGATTTCATTTACACTTGAACAAACCCAGAATAATATGTCTCCCACCTCTCTGGTCTGCATTCTTGTTGACCACAACAAAATAGTGCAAAGTAACTTTGATAATCAAACTCCTCTGTTCGATAAATCATTTCACAGTATGTAGGGAAATAGGTGGGGAAAACTATCAATTGGGTTTTTTTAGTGTGCACAACTGCTTCAATTATTGAAATACCTGATGAAATACTTTGGAAGCAGGGATACAATATTACCAACTGGCGAGCCTTCCTGAACCGTGTGAATGTAACGTTTACATTTTTCAAAGGGTGTTTACTGGAGAGCACTAACATTTCGGGGTGTGTGTGACTTTTTCCAAACTTTATACAGTCGTACCTTGGAAGTCGAACAGAATCCGTTCCAGAAGTCCATTCGACTTCCAAAACGTTCAGAAACCAAAGCACGGCTTCTGATTGGCTGCAGGAAGCTCCTGCAGCCAATCGGAAGCCACAAAAGGCCCGTTGGACGTTCGGCTTCCAAAAACAGTTCACATACTGAAACAGTCACTTCTGGGTTTGCGGCGTTCAGGAGCCAAAACATTCAAGAACAAAGCAAGGTAAGGCAGGGAGTAGCTGGAGGCAATGCCTCAGTAGGAAGACAGTAATGAGGTTGGTGGAGGGTGCTGGAGAGGTGCCAATTTTTTATTATTATTATTTTCTAACCTGCCTTATCATTTAGGCTCAGTTTAGCTGGCAATATGCAAATATGTTCCTCTAAAATGTGCATGCATATATATATAGTGCTAAATACCTAGACCCATATTTATCACTGACTAATAACTGTCTTGTGAATATATATAAAATAGACCCAAAAACAGATTCAGGGGTAAATTGGGAAAGGGAGATTCATTTCCCCACTACAGCTGTACCTTCATTTTTGAACAGCTTAGCTCTGAGAAAAGGCGCAGGGGGTCCTCCTTCAGAGCTAGGAATTTCAAGTAAGGTGAGCAGGAGAATGCCTGTGCCACTGCTGTGGTTTTCTGTGGAACCAGATAAGGCTTTTTGAAGTTAGAAAACATTTTAAAGTTCCAAAAGCAATTTAAGGTTTAAAAGCCTTTCTATGTACCATAGTGACAGAATGGGGTTCTTCTGGCCATCTTGCCCAGAATGCCCGGCTATGAAGATGGACCCCTCAGTCCTTTCTGCCTGCCTCAGGCAGCACAATCCCTTTCACAAAGCCCGTCTAGTTAAGCACTACAAAATGTGCCTCTGATTTTTCTCATATCGTAAATTTAGAAACACGGTCAGGTTGGAGGCAAATATTGAAACGTGTGTTCTGCTTTGAGTGAAATTTGTTCAGTATTAGAAAAGAACCCATGAAAAGAAATAAGAGTTTCAGGGTCAAGCCGATGACCCTAAATGTATCTCTTTTGTATCTTCAGAAGCTTTTAAGCATAAACAGAAGTAGTGGAGTGGCTGTGAATTTTGCAGTTGTTGATTAACCTCAGCTATGAATTGGCCTTCACCAAGCCATTGTCCCTCAACCACAGTTTACCAGCATCCCAACTGCAAGAAGGGGCTGCTGAAAATATTGCTCTTGAAAGGATTGCTGAGATGATTCGTGCAAGGTGTTTTCAGCACAGAAGGCCTGGAACCCTATGCATACTTACCTGGGGATAAAACTCATTGAAGTCAATGTGACTTAATTCTGAGGAGAACATGCAGGAGAGACTATGGGCACTGCCTAACTGCACCCCTAGATAAGAAGATAACTGGAAGGAGGCTGTAGGAATGGGGAGAGGGGGGCTTGTAAGTTGCAGATCAT